TTTTTACACTTCAGTTGGCTTTTCTGGAATGCTGGATAACTAAAAGTTAATCATTTCCACTGTGTTGTATAAATACTCTATAAGAATACAGTTATACAAAGTGTTTGACAAAAATATTCCAAATTTGAACTAAATGTATTGTTTTCAAATGGAATTAGCTTTAATTAATATATAACTTGCCAATTTTAGTAATTAAATATTTATGAGGGAAACAACATCACATTATGTCCCTTGACAACAAATGAAACAAAAAATTACCCCTAACATCTGCAACCTCTCTGCCAAAATCCAAGCTATCAACCAATCAATGTCAAATTTGTGGTTCATGATTGTAAGAATATGTTCTTTGCCTATTAACTTCAGGTCTTCATTAGATGTGTAAAGAATTACTTCAGAGCCAGCCCACCACTGTCCTAGGAAGGTGAATTCTGAAAAAAATGAATTTTAGTGAGTTGCATTCTCAGCAGACATGAATATGGGATAATGAAAAATAAAGTTATAAAAAAACTAATTTTTTTTAATTTATCAAACAGTAGAAATAAGGAATTAACTTTATGTTGTTGTAGATGTTAAATGAAGATGGGAAAAAACATACGTGACCAGTGAGCATAAGCCAAGTGAACATTGATCTTGCGATATAAATGACGATTCCAAGGCCAAATTATGCATGAGCACAACATGAGGAATGTAACAATTAGGCCGGACATAACAAAGATGTATCCAATAAGTAGGTGCATAATAAGTAGACCTTTAATTTGTTGAAAAAGCCCCATGTTGAATTTTTCCCTTAAAAGCCTGATCTGAAATATTCAAGAGTAAAAATTAAAGGACAAATCATTTTTATAAATATTTCCCTAACATTATAATTCCAATTCATAGTCCAAGCTCAAATAAAATGTACTATTGATCTAGTGTATGCATCTGCAAGTCTGAATTTTTTTTTTTTTTTCTTTTTTGGTTAAATGACCAGATTGATTAGCACACAGGACACTATACTTAAATTTTAGGTATGGTGAATCCCTATCAATTTAAATATACTTTGATGGATTTACTGAGAAAATTTATGTTGTAAGTTAAAATGAGGCCTATAGCAGACCTGTTTACTCTTACGATTTTGGCATATAATGTACAATTTTAAGGTGTATACATTATATATACCGGTTCTGAATGTTTATTTGTTACTATTAAGATAATGAACGATTTTGTGATGATATTTTACGATTTTAAGAGTTTGAGGGTAAACAGGTCTGCTATAGGCATAGGCCAATATTTAATTATATTTTACAGTCCAATATATTTTCCAGTAATCAATTAATATTTAAACAGCCTTTTTAATATGTATCAGTTTCAGGGTCCACAGATCAGTTTGGTAACTTTGCATCTATAAATATAAAAAATTTGGGGACACAGGTTAGTCTGCTTCTCTAAAATGGGGTTGAGATCAAACAAAGCGTTGAGAACCTGTTATTTAGGAGACTGAACCACTGAGAGTAATGTATATTTATTGTGGCTTCTATCTAAGCTGAATTCAGAGTAGTAACTCTAGAATTACAAGAGAATGAAGATACAAAAGTCATCTGGGCGAATGGATAAGGGGGGATATATATACAGTCTGAGAGATAGCAGGGGACTGTTAGTCAAGGTGTGAGAGATAGCAGAGGATAGTTGGTTACAGTGTGAGAGATAGCAGGGGATAGTACAGTGTGAGAGATAGCAGGGGATAGTTGGTTACAGTGTGAGAGATAGCAAGGGATAGTTGGTTACAGTGTGAGAGACAGCAGGGGATAGGTTTTTGTATGATTTGATAGTTAACCATTAGATTTCATAGAGTGTTTGTTACTTTCATAGAATTTTCATAGTAGGTGTGATACGACATATTGCAACCCGGTGGATCGTTTGGTAGAGTCTGTTGTTTGGATCCATCCTGTGTTCAAATAGGTATCTTGTAGTTGAAGCATATAGGGTAGATAGCAGGGTTGCTTAAACGCCCGTAACTTTAAGGATAGTCCCTAAAAATTTAACCTAAAATGACTTTCCCTAAACATCTGTTAAAAAATGAGACATTGTACAAATATTTTTTTGAAGTACAACAAACCAGGATATCACAATTTCTGTGATTTCTTCTTACTTGCTTGGAATTTGTATGATCATATTCAGCAGATATTCAAGACTGATGAGAATACTATACAATAATTAACTTTATAAAATGGGCTCAAGCCTCGTGGTTAAATGACTAGTCACAAACAAACATGTAGTATGTATATCTATTTTAAAAGTATGTCCTTTATAAGTTTGCTTGTCCATAAAAAAAATCTGCAAGATTTCATATTTGTCCATAAATTATTATTTTTTTTGAGTTGGTAAACCTAATAGATGGACACATAGATATAGAGTATTAGTGGAATGAGAATAGTGTACAATGTAAATAGAGAATTAAATTATAATATATTTACAAATTTATGTATATATATATATATATATA